GAGCATGTGATTCTCAACTTGTATAAATTAGCTCCAGTGAAGCTGTATTGATTCATGCCACCTTGGGACCTGGCACAAAACACCTCCCTTTCATGGGCAAGGATGATCAGTTGGCGTGGCTGTAGTCAGAGGGTGGTGCAGATTGCAATGTTGAGGCTGGCAGCCCTGACCACAGCACAAAGCACATTCATCTCATTTCCAAGTATGGAAAATGTGTCTTGATCACTTGATTCCAAATGACAAATTTGACTTCTTAAACTGCAAATATAGTTCTGGCCTGGGGATAATTTCCTTTGTAAATGCATGATGAAGTAATCCCGTAAAGCAAAAAATTATAGGTTGCATGTGGCTTGATATAATCCTTATTTATTGGTCATTTTGATCCTGTACACAGCAAAATAGTAAAATGGATACACCATCTAAGCTATAAACATACTATGTACACACAGAGAAGGAACAGTTAATTTTACATAAAATGGAGAAGGCACATAATGCAGTGATACACTATGATCATTTTGAGCTGGCCAAATTCCAGCTGCAATATTTGTATTCTGCCTAGTGTAAATATTCCTGGGACTCTGAAGGTACTCCTCACTGCTTCACAGGCTGGATGTCACCTCTTCCCAAGGGAAAAGGGAACGAACTGGGAAAGAGGAGTAAGTCACTTCGTCCTTCCCCTGCTTCAGAGTATCTTCGAAAGGATTTGGTGCAGAGCAGATCAAGTGCTCTAACTTAGAACTTTCTCTTTCTTGGGAGAAGGCTGTTAGACATGAAGACAGAGTTTAAATGCGTAAGACTTGGGAGTATATTGTGCATTTTTTTCTTTAATGGATAGGTTGCAAGTCATCATGAATAAATTATTTTACTTCCAGCTTTTGCATCAAATGGAGAGAGAGATTAAACAAATGTAATTTTGAAATATTTTAAGTCTTCTGTGTGGAGATACCTCCATATTAATGGAGGTTATCAGTTCTTTTTGGGAAACCAGAAGACAGTCTCGATATTTTTTTCCTTATAGCAGCACGAATGCTTTCCACACCTCTGAGATATTACTGCTCCTCCCTGAATGTCTGTGCTTCTGCACGCATTTTATTATATCTCTGGGCTGAGAAGCAGTAAATAGCTTGACATCTGCTATATCAGTCGTAATCTGTGGTTTAAATTTCAGCAAAGATGGTATTAGACACTCTTTATAATGTATTCTCTTTTGTTTTAACTGTTGTTCCCTGGTTGAGATGTGACCCCGGAAGGGTCAGTCTTCCTAACCATGCATTTCATGGTAACTATAGCATGTTAATATCGCAACAGCTTTGGGAGTTTGTGTGCTTCTCCAGGCTGCCATTGAGCTTTTTCAGCTGCAGCATCTGCCTCCCTGTCTTCTTTGGCTGTTGCTTTGTTAATTCAGCTTTTCAGAAAGTGTATTTAGAACTGACACTTGTGCCTTTGGGGCCTTTTCTTGTTTGTTTCTTATAAGATCGTAAATAGAGTTTTGAATATTTCACATTTTAATCTCTATTTGCAATAAAACATGCTCCCTCTAAGTTATCTTACACAGATCTGCTTCAGTAGGTAATTCTCATTCCTGACTCACCATCACCCTCCCTCCTTTTGCTATGGCCTCACTACCATGAAAGCCCAGCTTCACCCTTGCTGCAATCCCGCTTTTGCCTCCACCTTCCCCAAGTGCCACCCACTTCCATTTCCTTTTCTTCTCTCACTTTTGCGTGAGCTTTTACCACTCTTATTTTTATTGCTTCCTCTCCACTGAGACTGATAGCAATCACAGCTTACTCTGATCTTAAAGATTTTTCCCCTGCCTTCTCTCTCCCTGACTTACCTTCTACAAGCCACACTCATATTTCACTCTGAGATTTTCCCTTTGTTGTGCTTTTATGGGTGTCTTTTTAATTCTTCAGGAGCATATTCCTCCAGAGCTCTCTTTGGTCTGTACAAAAACTCTTCAGGCTTTCATATTCTCTGCATCTTCCTTCCTCTGTACATGTTCCTGGCTATCTTGCTCAGCCCTATAGATTCTCTGTGTGGCAACACTTTCTTGAATGTTTTATTACCTCTGCACAGATTTTTTTCTACTGTCTCCAAAATTTCATCCAGAAATTCAAACCACTGAGAAGAGCAGACTTACTTTCCAGCCACTTCCTTGTTCTTGCTCTGTCTTTCACCATGAACAATAATGCTTTCCTTCAAGTTAGTTCTCCAGGCAAACTGCCTCCATCTTCAGCTGCTTTCTCTCTTCTGTCCTTTTTCTTTGAATCATATAATAATTTGGTCTGGAAGGGACCTGCTGGTGTCATCTAGTCCAACATCCTGCTCGAAGAAGGGCGAACTTCAAAGGTCTGTGTTATAACCATTCCACTGCTATTTCTGAAATGACTTACTTTCTGGTTTTCTTTCTCCATCTCTGCTATTCACTGAGATCTCTGTCAATTTTATTTCTCCATTTAGCTCATTGACCAGAAACCCAAGAACATAAAGCAGGTGTGTGGAAGCATTTTCTTTGCATCCGCTTTACCAGTTCAATGCTGCTTCTGCTACTTGTGCCCCAAGTCATGCTTCCAGATTCCCCCTGGTTTTCAGAGCTCTCTCTCCCCCAGCCTTTCCCAGCCTGCAGCCTTACAGCTCTTCTTCTCCACTTAGTTATTACTTGCCCTCTCGTTATCACAGGTTCCTTTGTCTTTGCCTTGCTTTGCCACTTGGCAGAGATGGCCTTGCCTTTGGGTCTCTCACAGCTTTTTGGGCTGAGGCTAAAGCAATGTCTGTAAGAATCTGCACAAATCACTCCTGCTTCACTTGTGGTCTTTCATCTTCACACGCTGTTTGCTGTCTCTTTTGCTGAGTGTTTGCTACCTCAAACTGTACACTCTTTGAGTCAATTTCTTATTTTTTCCAATATTTATGTATCTTTCCAGAAATGATCACACCTAACAAACTTTATGGTATACCTTATTATGCCTTAGCAGTGTCTCTTAGGGCAAATGCTGGGCTAAACCAAGTGTTTCAGTTAAAAGTTATTACATCTGTAATTACATAATGCCATGATTCGAAAAGACCTACCCTGAATCTCTGCTATCTCTTATCTCCCATCATATTTTTGGCATTATTTTTCCATTCTTTCCTTAGTTGCCATTTGAACTCTCTGGATTTAGACTGCAGCTGTACAACAACGATTGCCTTCAAAATAATAAGCTTCAGTAGTAAAGCTGTAAATTGGGCTAGAATAAAATCTGTTGTGCATTTTTGCTGTGACTACATTCTGCTCTTTTAACTCGGCTTGAGTCCTACCATCCACTCACATTTTCTGTAGTGCCTTATTTTGAAAGATATCGGTGAGGACTGCAAAAAAAATCGCGAATGTGCTTACTCTCATAGTTACTGTAATCATTTAAAACAAAAATAAACGTGAGTGACATTGATCTTTAGTAATCCCTTAAGGGGCTCATTCAGAATGAATTATGAATTGATCATTAATTAAAAGGATGGATACTTAATGTGTGTACTCTATTATGCAACTCCTGCAATAACTATCTGTGGTTTGATGCGTATATCTGAGATGTTTCCCAACTGCGGGAACGTATAAGCTGAACTGCAGGAAGAAAGAACTGCCATCATGGACTTTCTACTCCGTTGCCTCTTTATGGTGGATTCAGTTTGTGTGGGAGCAATGTTTATGCTTTAATTTCTTGACTATATATGAAAATTAACTGGATGAGTTACTGCTAAGATTTGCCTCTACATTTCAAAAAACCCCTTTGACCTGGGTGTATTTTTGGCACATCCTTTCCTACTACAAGAATGATCATTACATATCTTGAAGATTTTCAAATGTCTATTTCATTACAAGATTTCTTCCAAACTTCTCCTGTTATTCCATTACATTTTATGTGTTTGTTCCTTTTTGAACAAACAGTTGCAATCCTTTTGCTGCTGAGGTTTATGAGATAATTAAATGGGATTATCCCTGCTTTAAAAGAGGAAAATTGGGGCATAAAAATTTATTTGCCTGTGATCATATGAGAACTCTGAGCTCCAGGAGAAGCACCAAGTCTGTCATCATTAATTGCAAGCCAGTGCTTTACCTGTAGGCCACTTCTGCCTCTTTCCCGGTATTTTCCATGAGTTTGGGGAAACATTTTTGAGCATGCTTTTTGGCAGCCAATGTATGTTTGCAATGTGAGAAGCAATGGTTTTCTAAAATGGACCATCGGGTAATATTGTAATAAGAAAATGGCAGTGGTGTGTATGCACAGAAATTGTTTAGGATGTTGAGACTCCATGTCTCCTAAGAGCTCAGATTGTGCCCACTGGACATTTTAGGACACAGTCTTTTATACTCAGAGAAATATGTGCTTTTGTGGAAGCTGAAATTCTTTTCAGTAGAAGGTGGGGGCGCAGCAGGTAAAATCTTCTCAGAGAGAACTGAAGGAAAGAAAACCAATTAAATTTGAAGCATTTATTTTGGAGAGTTTTTGCACAGCTTCCTTTTAATCCCTGATAAACAGATGAAAGTAGATATGCTAAGACACAGCTCTAGTACTAAAGCCTTTGATAACAGAATTACAATTTCTTTATTATACAGGCTTATTTGATTTGTCTACATCACCTTCTGCAGCAGTGATTGCTAGGCAGTAAAAGGAAAGCATAGATGAGAAACTTATTCGTGTTGCATCCGAGACAGGCACTTACATATAGCCCAGGAGGCATTACTGTCTGTAATGCCTACTGCTGATTATCAAGGCTGTAGTTTCCAGTGCAAATAAAAATTGTCCTTGGACCGACTGGTCCAAAACAATGATAAACAGCATTGGTTCACTTAAATCCTAAGAGAATTTCAATGTTATTGAACTTAAAAGGGAAATATTGAAAGCCCAAAGTCATTGTAATCTTATAATGAGTATTCCTGGTATTGGAATGAAAATTAATATATCTAACATATGTACACTGTCTCCTTTCAGCCATCTTCCAGGATGGAGGAGCGCTTTCTTCTAAATCAGTCTTTCCATTGGTGGTGGCTGCACCATGTTCCACATCTCTACCCGGGATCCCTCCTTCTCCTGCCGGCTGGGGCTGTAGGTCCCTTGAGTTGCCCGTTTATTGGCAGCAATGACTGAAACCACAACTGCCAAGAAGAGGATCAATAACAAGGCCAGCGTTACTGAGCCAATGGAGGTGAATATGTTCGAGATCAAGTCAGTTGTCAACTGGAAGGATTGAAATAATCGCAATATAATTTATGTCAAGAGAATACTGAGATACACTTGAGCTACCATGGAAGGCAAATAAAAACCATTCTATGGATAGGGCTTTGCATAGACGAGCTACTGCTGAAGCACTGTTTATTGGCAGAAAAGTACATTAGCCCCTCCAGATTTTGTTCTTTGGACTCTTCAGAAAATTACATACTTGGTGCTGGACATTTAATATACAAGGCAGAGCTGGATGAATTTTACGAAATGACCCATTTCATTTGACAGGTTCCTTTTTGCTTGAAAATAACATGTGAGTTAATATGTCTGTAGACTGTAGTAGCAATTCAGCAATTATTTGTTTAATCACTTTAATAATAATTCATTGTCCCTAGTTTGGTTGTGAACATGTTATTGCTAGCCTTTGCTACTGCAAGTTAAACATGAGCTATTTTGACTGGATATATATTCCGTCACATTTCTGTTTCTTTTGCTGGAGCAGTCAAGCTTATGTGAATACTTATACTTACATATAGAAAATTTGCTTACTGTAAATATTTTTGTAAAATGCACTATTTCTGTGGGCATTCCTGCCAGTAAACTTTTCTACCAGTGTGTTTGCATTAAATAAGTGGGTAGAGGCTGCACAAGAGTGCAACTGAAATCTATTCAGTGAGAAATTAATCAGTATATTGTCACAAATATGTTTTAAAATATTCATCCCGCTCTTCTTCTACATACAGGCTTTGTAGCTTCATTGGCACAAACACAAGTAGTACGGTATAGGATGAATGTAAGGATGCTCTGATTTTTTTTTTTCTGTTTTCTTGTGGCAGTGGGAAATGTGATAATGTCAGAAGGCACAGTGCGCATAAACAAATCTGCCAGCTGAAAAGCTTTAGACCAGGGAAATTTTATAGTTGGTAGATGAACATTCTATATACCTCTACATACGTGCTTTTATGTGTAAGAAATTCTTATGGTGAGGTAAGCCAATGAAGTGATGTGGTTAGTGTGGAAAAGTGGTCGCTATGGACAGAGTGACCCTAGTAGGAATTGAACTTCTGGGCAGATTCTGCCATCCATCATCTTTTGATTTGTATTATGAGCGACAGCTGAACTGCCATAGATGTATGTGTGCTTGAGGCTGAACTTCCAAATCCCAAAATACTTAGAAATGGAAAACAGCAGGTCAAAGCCCATTTCCCAGCTAGATACTGCATGTTACAGGATATTTTAGTGACCTGCTTGCTTGTCATTTCTAAGGAAGTGCAATTACAGTCCTGAGAACAATGAGGATTTTGCATTCAGCAATGGATGTACTGTAAGTGGGTGGTGTTGCTGTGCATACCTTGTTGGACTTATGCCTTTGCAGAAGAACAACAATGCCAGAGGGAGAATGTTAAAACAATCCTTCCTCTTTTTTTCTTTCCCCACTTCCACGCTGATATAAAAGGTCCTACTATAATAATAAAAGCAAGTTTGGCTCAGGGATTCTCTCTAGGGGATGCATGACCAGCTAGGACATTTTCCTCTGCCCTTGATGGCTAAATATACGGTTCCTATGATTTTAAAACCCTTTTTTCCAATAGAAATAATCTAGTGCAGGTAACAGACCACATGACTCCAACCCTAAAACAAGGTGGCATGAAATGTGCTGGTCCATTAAATTGTATTGAATTGGGAAGGTCATTTCATCTTTAGATGGTGTTACAGATATATTTGAGATCTTAGCTTTTCTCTGTACTGTGTTAGACTACATGACCCTTGTTTCTCTGTTCTCAGAGAAGCTGCAAATTTTTAATGGAATTTTTATTCTTGGAAGCTGTCTTTTATTTTCATTGTCTTCCCTGGGAAACTGAGGACCAAGATAGTCTAAGTTAACTCGGATCCTAGGGTTGAACAGGACATTTGTGAAAGAAATTCACTGCCATAGGCAAATGGATGGTATTGCCTGTGAATATGTGAAATTTCTGAACTTATTCTCCAATTTTCCAGTCCATACTCTTTACATTCCTGTTGTAAGTATGTCTACATCTATGCAGACATTTTCATTTATGATATCCTTCACATTAAGAAATAAAATTAAAGAAAAATTTTATGCAAAGGAATTGGGGAAAAGAGAACCCTGTAATTTGTTAAAATGCAGTCACATATCTAAACCTCATTCTCAAGTTAAAATCTTCATAACAGGGCTATTTTTTTTTGTTCTGCAGTAGTTACTTCTTACAGAAACCTTACCCATAGCACACCATAGCAATCCACTACACATTTCACATTTTCTTCCAATTCTTGTTTCTTTTTAATAACTATTATTCATTCATTGGATTTGGTTTGGTCAACCAGTGACTTGAACAAACTACTGAAAATTGCCCACATCTGTGTTGGACAAAACTTTTCCTCTTGAGCCATTATGTAAAAAATGTTACCCCACTGATTAAAATCTAGAGAGCTGGGTTTTTTACAATGATCAGATACATAAGCTAACTTTATTTCTGTGTTTATGTTGCTTCTAATTTCTAAATATGAAGAAAAATGGCTTTTATGTCATCTTTTCGGGTGGATTCTATTGTTCAAAAAAAAATAATCTACTGTTCAAGTGCTGTCCCCTGGTTTATCAGCCCACAGATCACTGCCTAAGTTTACAGTATAGGTAGCCCCCTTAGCAGTAGCACTGAACTGATAACAAGAGTTGCCAGAAGGCTCTGCAGTCTGGTCCCATCAAAATCAGCTGCTTCTTTAGTAATTAATGGCTGAACAGTTAAATTAATTTGGAAAATCAACTGGCTGATCTGGAAAAAAAAAAATCCAACTGAAAAGTTCTGTCCCCTGTCATCTCTGAATCTGTTAATTCCAGTATTTGGTGATGATGATAGACTGAAATAATTGTAACTGATGTTCCTGAAAAGAAAAAGGACTGAGCAGCATTTTTAGAAACATAGTGCTGCTGAGGCAGCAGAAAAAGAGGTTTTCTGTTACTGACCCTACTGTGTATTTTGCATAATGGTAGGGAATGGGCTTTAAAAAAGCAGTTTGAACGTAAAGGTCCCATATCACTGCTTCAGGCTCTTCTGGTAAGTCCTTGCCTGTTGCTTCCACCATAGATGGATCTAGGCTATGAACCTCTCCAATGTTTCAAAGAGCAGAGCCCCTCTGACAGCTGTGGGACTGCTCATGCATGTGGCTGCTTATCTCAGTGTTCACAGCCATGTAGTGGATCACCCATGGCTGCGAGTCTGTGGGCGTCCAAAGGCGCTGGGTGGTTAGCAATGCACAGCTGATGTCTCCTTGATTAGACCACCACGCTGCAACATCACTTTTCAGCTTCATATCACACAGGCTGCTATTCACTTCCCTGTGTTAGCTTGTTAAGATATCTGGTTGTTGAACTGACTGCTTGTGAGATGGCCACTTGCTATGAATATATAATTTTTTGGTGCGTTTATCACAAAGCCATGGCAGAGTCCCACGCAAGAGGTGTTCTGTGGCCTAGAGCTTCCAAAGCAGAAGGGGAAAGCTCTGGAAAGGAAAGGCCAAAGCGAGGCAAACTTCATTTTGTCTCAGCCTAATCGGAAAAAAAGCCACGGGACAGCTGGAAATTTATGAAGAGAAACAAGTTACTGAATTTTTTTGCTAAAGACCTTTGTTGTCAAGGAAGCCTATGAGACTCCCACACAATGTGATAGCCTTTCAGAAATAATTCTTGCTGATAAATACCACATGGTAATCACAGCTATCTCTGAATGTAACTTCAGCGCTGCTTATGAATAACTAAATATGTGTAGGGTAACTGAAGGAAGGTTAATTTACTGACTGGGCAATACCTTTGAGATTCTCATTACACTTTGAGCAGGAGGTTGGACTGGGAGACCTCCTGAGGCCTCTTCCAACCTGCATTATCTTATGAGCCTGTTTGAAATGTAGTCAGTGACAGAACAGTTGTGAGAGTTCCCCTGCCCCTAATACATAGTAGCTGTCAGTAAAAGCTGTATCCTTAATGATAATGGATGCTGATGGCAAGATGGTGTCATGTGCCATGGTAATACCAACAAAATGAAGTCTGCTAACATTAGAAGGCCAATCTGCTTCTTGCTTATGTAGCATGGTCTATTCATATGTCTTCAGATGTCAGCTGGAGCAAGACAAATTTATTTTGGTAAAATTTAAAAATAAAGGAAGAAAAAGAAAATATTCTTGCATTTAGTTTTCATGTAGAGAATAGCTTCCTCTGCAAAGACAGAAGGAAATGCAGAAAAAACTCTTTTTTTGTCTTGTTTTAAAACAAGGTCTTTTGGCTCTTCACTGGTGGTTTCATTTCAAAGCTCGTTAATTTTTTTTTTTTTTTTAATTATTAAATAAGAACAATTTAAAATGTTTAGATTAGATAAAATCATTGGATAGAGTGAAACTTCATTGTAGGGCTGGGTTTTACTTTTCATTTGGTTATTGAAATAGATTGATTGTTCCACCTTGGTTCCTTGATTTGCTTTGTAGGTGAACCGTTTGGATAAGGAGGGCCCAGTTCACAAGTCAAAGCTCAGCAGCATTTATCAATCCAGTATATGTATGCTTATCTTTAAACAAGCTGTCTTCCAAACCGTCACTTTATAAGGGGGGAACATTAGGGATTTGCTGTATATGAACGTTTCCATGTGTGCCAAATGCCAAAGGCAAATGGAATAGCACAAGGGAGCCAGCAAAATACACAAGGCCTCTTCCTCTTGTGTGTCTTACATCAGCATGATTTCGCTGATCTAATCCCGGTTTATGTCGATACAGGAGATGAGAATTATGGCCACAGACACCAAGGGCTGAGCTGGATCAGGGAGAGAGAAGAGCAAGCTGTGGTGCCAGCAGAGAAATTGCTGTAGGTGTGAGAGAAGTAGCGTGACCTTCCTTGGGACGCTGCTACCTGGGCACGAGCTTTGCACAAGCAAGTGTGGCTTGCACGAAATGTATGTGTCTTTGGGATGTGAAAGGTGTAGTGTGCTCTGAAAGCAGAAGCATGCCTCTGT